CGAAATAATACCGACAAAAATTGGAAATTGCTTTTTCCACATAGTTTTCATTTCCAAAATTATAATCAGGTTGTTATTAGAATGTTAGTTTCGTTTGAATGAAATATTAATATATTTTGTTTATTAAATGTTTTGGAAGAAAATACTTCATGGAGATTGTATCACGTGCAATATTTGGAATATGAATAAAGTATGTTTTTGCCCTGGAATTCCTAATTTATTTGCCCAACGTAGAGTTGAATTTATAGTCGTCGCTTAATGGAATAAGGGAATTCTTAAGGAATAAGTGATTGCTTGAAATGAGTGGTCACTTATAGTGATTCTTTTTTCCGTTCCTCATGGATACGCTGCAATTAGTCACTTGTCCAAGCTGATTTTAAGTTACGGTCACACACTCTGTCGTTTTAGAATATAGAATGTCTGTTTGACTTGTTTCCGGTTTCTTGATCCAAGCATATCGCTAGATAAAAATATTGTATCTACGATGCATTCAATACCTTTCAAAAATATACAGTTTTTAAATGCACACTCATATATAGAGGACCCTTAAGTAATGAGAGAATTCTTAAAAAGTAAGTAATTTCCCATTCTATTCATTATTTTGGATTTACCGAAATAATTTTCTCTAACTTCTTATTTTTTTTCCAAAAATGTAGATTCATGAAGCGTATATTTTGTAAATCAAGAGAAATTTAGTTTGGTAAAAGAAAGCACAAATATTTGAAATATAGAAGAGACGCTCATACTGTGATTATTACAAACATAACATTAAAAAAATATAGTATGTTTAAAAAGAGGAGGCAAAGAGTTGCAGATTCCTCTTGAGAGACATAATCAACATTGATGGAAACCACTGGGTCACCAGTAATCAGATTGCGCCAGGGCAAGTAATCCTACAAACACAGCAGAACATCAGTAAAATGAAGTGGCGTTTGTTTGCTTGAAAAAAGAACTTGTAGGCGAGCGCTGCCTGCCGGAAGTTCGCAGCAAGCATCCACTCAGATTGGCACCCCTGCGCTAGCACTGGCGCCTGCGGCCACCCCGCCGTGGGGGGTGGGCAGAGCAACGGAGGGCGGCAAAATGGCAGCGGGCGAAGCCCTTCGGCCCGAGTGACCGCCGCCGAACCTCCTATAGATTTTACATTTTAGCACTCGACCCTCCCACGGAGGCCTGTGATTGGTTATTTCCGAGTTATTACATCCAGAAGTTGGATAATGAATTTTCAACAGGAGTCGGTGCTCGTAAAATCTCCTGACGCTCGGTTAAAACGGAAAGGCCAAACGAAGTGGGAAAGAAAAGGAAAAAAATTGACGCTTTATTGTCGACGCTATTTCTCAAGCGTACGTCGTCGGGAAACTAAAATATCGGAATATGCTCCATATATTCCCTTCTTAATTAAAAATTAAATTAAAACCACGGAGACTTCCCTTTCGCTCTGCCCTCTGGTTTCGTGTTAACATGTAGTCGCTTGTGTGGCTGCTCCCCGCAAAATCCTCTCTGAACTAAATTGATATTACCGGAAGACTTTCAGTTATTACCGATGTATTCACATACCTCTCCGTGTTTTACGAAATTGATATCATTTAGAAGTGGTTTGTGTATGTTTCTGATTCAGTAGAGAAGTCTGGCATGAAAATTTATGTTTCAGTCAAATAAACCAGTGGTAGTTGCACGTTTGTTTCAGCGTAAAAGAGTAAAATGAATAATGATATTCATAAAAGAAAAAGAAACATTCCATTCCAGTAAATATCAACGTTAATTTTAAAAAAATACCTTAATTATATTTTCTATAATTTCATAAGTAATGGCGAAACTTTTAAATTCCGTTCGTATACCGCCGCTTTAAATGTCCGTCTGCTGCTTCTCGCTTCCAATTTTAATTTTTTCTACCTCTGAGCCTCTTTACGGCCTGTCCGTTAACCTAAACGAGCATAATGAAACGTAAAGCAGGACGATATCCGCGGAAAGCCTATTTTGCGCACGTTCAACATCAGAGTAAGCTTCCAAATGGAGTCTTTTACATTCTAAATGCATCCATTATTAATCTTATGCTCTTCCCTGAATACTCGTTAAAAAATTAAAGTCCGTTTCTAAAGAGTTGGAAAGCAGCAGGATGGTCTGGGTGAGGCTACCGCTTGCAAAGCTGTCGCGAGCATTAACATAAAGTTTTGAAAACGCTTGGCTAAATAGGAAGAAGAAAATTTTAAAATGAATTAAATTTAATATAGTTGCTTTCGACAGCAACGCGAGCTATATTCGTTAAAAATCAGATGAACGAAAGGCAAAATGTATTCAGTTTAAAATAATACACAACAAATTCCGAATATCTTTCATTTTGAAAGTTTTACAAACATATATACATACATACACACATATTCTGTGTATATGTATACATACACACACATTATGGAACCTATTGTTGCATTGTATTAGCATATTGGCAATGGAACTGATATCGAAACCAAATGATGATGCTGACGAGAACAAACATATACCATTATGGGAAAAATAGAATATCGAACAGGCCCCTCGTTAAAGTTCAGACTACTGTGCCCTTGACATCAATTAATAGGTAAGGTTTTCTGCCAGTAGAAATGTGGGGGTTAACAGCTACGTTTCCTATAAGTCGCTCCCACATTTATTTCGACCCTGTCGTCCTACAACTTCATTCGTGAAGGACTAATCTCCTGGCTACGTGTTTGTCATATGGTTATTCTGTGCAAATCAGTAATGTCAGTTGTTAGGTAAAAAATTATTTACTTAATTTTTGTTTGCTCTTTTTACTGTCGGTACAGCAAGTTTAACCTGCTTAGGGTTTCAAGAATATTAGTAATTCTTTTATTTCAGCCGTTTTCGGTCCTTCACCCCTTCCACGGACCTCTGTGCAAAGTAATGTAACGGGCTTCTCTTAATTGGTCGTACGTCTAGAATTGGGTGAAGATGGCGTGGCAAGTGTTATGCTTCAACCGTATACTTTTTTAACCAATATTTACAATTAATAAATGAATGTATTTACTGAATTCACTCTAAAAAAGTTTTAACTGAACTCATCCGACAAACGCATGTTCCTTCAGAAGCCAATGCCAATCCTAATTAAAAGACATTTCTCATATTGAATCCACCACAAGTCCGTTTCTTTCAGGTGATCTTCTAATCCTGCGACCGCTAGCCAAAGGAGGGCGTCATTGATTTTACTCTTTCACTGGAATTCAAAACACGTTATTCAATCTCGCCTTTCCAGTCATACCAATCCACGTTCTCGGAGCTGCAAACGCATACGCTGAAGCATTCGATCTACGCGATTCCACTCAGAAATTGAGAAAATGTACTGTAGGTCAGAATTGGCTTCTGTCGTCAATCATTGAATCATTAAATAAACCCGTCTACTTGACTTTATCCTCGTACTTTCCCAAAACACGTGTTCTACCTTCATATTCCAACATCCACTAATAACGTTAACCGAGATGTGTAGCTTATGGTATTTTTAACTTGTTGGAATAGTAAAATAAGAGCAATATGTAACCTAGAGTAATTCTTACCAACAATAAAATGTAGTATGTGCAATTGCATACCTCAGGTTTTTCTAAAATGATAATATGAGTAAGAAAAAATGGTGGCCGCGATGGTGTAACGGTTAGCGTACTAGACTGTTGTACCCAAGTTGGCGGGTTCAAATCCGATCGTAGCCGTGGATTTTTAAGGGCGAAGAAATCCTTCGTTCGCCTTCCTTCGCAGGGGAAGTAAAGCCGGCTGTCCCATGTTCGTAGATTTACTTGCAAGTAAAAAGCCTAAATGACGCCTCTGAGCTAAATTCAAATCGCCTGTTTCTCGCCCAAGAAATACCTCCTTTCTCTCCTAGTTGGTCAAAGGAGCGTAGCGAAATTTGCGTGGTCAGACGGAAGAGCGGGCCTTATGGCCCGAGTCTCGCCACGTAATATAAAGCAAATTCAATTCAATTCAAAAAAATGCAGATCGTGTGTCTGGATGTGGAAAATAGGAGACTATAAGTATCCAACCAGTACTATGTCAAGTTACATTGTTACGTCGAAATAATTACTGTTTACACGAACGCTTATGCAACCAAAATTTATGTTGTTGGATGTAAGTCATAATGCAAAATGAAGCCTACATTGTTTGAAATATACACTGGCCCAGAATACGATATCTCCCAGACGCCATGTAAGTATCAATTTCTATTGTATCATACTCATTTAGACCTCTTCACTCACGACCTAGCTCCCTCGCCTTTCCGCTCTAGAACTCTTCGAATCTGGGTTCTCCAGAGTAAACATTTTGGTGAACAAAACCAATTATCAGGGTGTTTCAAATGTATTCAAAATTTCCACTGCGTTTCATATTGTAATATCTTCCTTTTTTACACTCAATGTCCTATTATCGTTTCTAATATCAATACTATTATCGTTTCTAATATTGAGCATATTTGTATTTTAATTGTTCAACGCCAGAAAACGAATATTCTGAAAAATCTCAAATTCTGAAGTCAACGACATTTTTATTAAACTAACTGATCCATGAAAGCAACTCCAAGAAAACTCTACGTTAGAGATTATCGCTAAGAAAATAAAAAGTGTTCAATAATACACGAATGCTTATAGACATTTGGTTATCACCATACAAACATCATGGCCTTTTCTATATGTATGCTTGGGTAGAAAGACGTATTAAGTTTGTTCAAGCCACACATGAACTACGTAGGTTAAAATTGTTCGGAAAGCGAATATAATTTGTTTTTTTGTTTGTTCGTCTACAAGCAGCGCTATTAAAATTTGTGCTCTTTTTCAGTTATTTATCTGGAATCTATTTCTTATTGTTGCTATTTTTAGAATATGTTTTTATAAGTTTTGTTTGAACATTGATTCGATTTTCTTTAAATTGTTCTTGAGCTTTGAATTAAACAGATCACCTTGTGCCCGAAAGAGCGAAAACGAGTTACGGGTAAAAGTAATAGAGGAATACACGCAGTGCGTGCTCTCACTCACCATGGACGTGTTGGAGAAGCAGACGCCCTTGCCGGAGCAGTCCTGGCCGTCACCGCAGTTGTCCGACTTGACGAGGACGCGCAGCTGCACGCAGTGGCCGCCCCACAGCTCTGACGTCACTGCGCACCGAGAACAATGCCCTGCGATGCCCGCCCTGCCCCGCGCTCGCCCGGCCGCGCAATTGCCCGCCGCGCAATCTGGCCAAAGGGCCGAGGAGCGCCCCGCCAGATTGCGCGGCGCTCCTCGCCAAATGGTGCGCTCTGTTGGAAGGGATGGGGCCCATCCGCAGTTGCCTCTTACGGCGGGGTTGGGGAATTTTGTGCGTGCATTATTGTTCTACGCACAAAGAGTGTCATTGTACTGAAATGCGAAGTTCAATGAATAAAAATGCCTGAAAATACATGTTTCAGCCCTTATTGATTTGATTCTTTGGAATGTTGCACTTTGAAGAGCGTATACGGCAAAGAAGCCACACAAACAATATACTGGGGCGACATAAATCAACATGAATGCGTCATGCGTATTTTGAAAGAGCCTAATAGTTTGTACTTGTGTGTTTCTGTGAATTTGCACTAAAAACAGAATGTACACAGCTTGTACAGGGTGCGCCAGAGAAACTTACTTATTTGAAAAAATTCCCGCGCGGTGAGTTGGGCGGTTAGAGGTGCGAGAGGGGGTGTATCTGGAGGGGGAAGTTCCCAAGTTTTTTTCTCCTTCCAACCATTTGCCATCATGCTGTGGACTAGAGAGCAGCGGGCCTTCGCAGTCGAGAGCTTCTTTTCTAACGGCACATTATATACTCACCGCGCGGAAATTTTTCCAAATAAATAAGTTTCTCTGACGCACCCTGTACGATAGTGTCTTTGGGACACTCAATTTAAACCTCCATACGCCTTCTGTGGAAACAGTTCCATTTTACGTCCATCACTCACCTTCTGTACCTAGTTATATAAATAACTATTCGAAACGTTACAGTTAAATGCTTCCTTTAGCCCATGAAATTTGCGTCATCAAATTTTAGAACTCACGCACATTGTCTTATTGTTCTCCTTGACCCCCGCCAGATTACCCAGAACAACCCTCGCCAAACGGTATGTGCTGTCTGCAGGGATGGGTCTCATCTGCAATTACCGCGTAAGTCCCTTGGGAAATCCTGTGTGGATCTGTGTTCCTCATGAACATTGAAATTTTCTTGTAATGTCAAGATAAATGTATACATATGCCTGTGTATAAAAATTAATTTTAAACAGTGTACGCGAAGTGCTTTGTTTCGTCCAAATATTTCAGTCATGTTTTAAGACGTACCCAGATTGTCTAAACGTGAACGAGTGTTATCGTTACTAGGATCAATTTCAAAGAATCAACAACCCTAATTTTCCTTCAGCCTTTCAGTGATATCCTTAGACGAGAAGTTCAATCACGAATATCCGTGTTTGTTGATAATTCGCAAAGCAAAGTAAACATGCGTCACCCGCAAATATGCAAAGAAGTGGAAACAGAAATACAGTTCAACATTCTTTGGACAGTTTTGAACCACACTCCACCTTTTCCTAAACACCATTACGTGTTTCACGAACTTGCTTCTTGGGATGCGTTTGGCCTAAGAAATCACTGACAGTAAGATGTTTCAATCACGCACTGCAATAATATGACAGTATTAACACCAATGGTTTCACAAGAATATATTCCTCATACAATTATGCATTTTCTTGGATACAAGGAAACACATAACATTATCTAATATTCCTGTCAAACCATTAGTATTAACATTCTTCGACTTTTTTCCCGTTTTGGTCTCTTAAGTTCAGCTGTTAGTGTCTTGTGGTTAATTTGTCCACCTGGAACAGTAATGAACGAAATCGTTACCAACTTGCAGAACGAGCGTGGTATTTGTCTGCAGAGTGCTGAGAGTGAGACGTGACAAATTGAGTCTTCACATCCTGGGGAGGCCAACTGTCAGCCAACGAAACAGGAAACGCATGACAGACGGTGGGGGTGAAGGGCGAAGGCTAACAAGGTTGTTTCCTCGGAAAACTCCGACTACCAGGGCCGGGGCACGGGGCAAGCTATTTTCACAGAATCATTTATCTCCCTTGTGTCGGGAGGAAGTTCCAGGTATCCCAGAACGCCAGCGAAGTGAAATGATTTCCTCCCGAAGGTTGACTTTGCGGACAAGCATATTCCACGTGCATAAACTGTAAAAAGCTTCCGGTGAAAATTCGTAATTTTTGTCTTTACGGACTGAGTGGGTTTTGCAGACTAATTAATACATCTGTGCTCTCATTCATTTTATGCGAACACTTTTTAATTAATTTCGGAAACAACATTTAAAATGGTGTTCATATGGCAAAGACGTTTATGAGCGAGCTGCTTTGAATGAGTGTAATGAAACATTTCAAATTTAATTTGCAGCAATGATATAGCAATGTAATATTTAAACATGTCATGTCAGAACTTCCGTTCATTATTGTGTTTCCCCCGAAATTCTCATTCTCGTATTTGGCGGGAGAGCGTATAAACCGAAAGCCTTGACAGTTTCCGAATCTATCGTGTTATGATATCGACATTTGAAGGATTTTGACTGTTCATACTTCGGACTCGCTGAATTATGTGAGTAGCCTTGGATTCAGAGTGCACCAGTTGTGTTGGGTCCATGGAACATTAAGCACTGGACAAACGACTGTTTAAAATAAAAACCGCCGATTTTAAGCTATTGACGGTGTCGTCACTATTTGTATGCGCGAGTTCATTACAGAGTTGATTGTTGAATAACGAGATATTCTACACGAACATTGCCAATAGAAGTTGTTTATTTTCTTAATTAGCTTCATCCCCAAAATGACGTAAATTGAAAAGGCAGGTTTAATTGGAAATGAAAAACGCTCTGCTGCTAGTTTATTATTCCAGCATGAATAATAATTTCCAATTTTAAATTTTGCTGTTGCATTGTCTGTACGAGTATTATATATACGTATATTATTCGTATATTATTCCAGCATGAATATTAATTTCCAATTTAAATTTCCAATATATATATATATATAATATATATATATATATATATATATATATATATATAGAGAGAGAGAGAGAGAGAGGAGAGAGAGAGAGAGAGATAAAGATAGAGAGATAGAGATAGAAGACAGAGAGAGAGAGAGTTTTCTTGAAAAAGGGTGTCATCTTTGCAATTTATTTCCTCTCATATAAATATTTCCAAACACTTTCCAAAATATAAGCCAGCAAGAAATTTGACAAGATGTTTTATAAACACTCCGAGGAACTTGTTTTCATCTTCCTCTGAGCAGCGATAAATCTGAGAGGATTTGATACTGTCAGGAAGTCGTTTCGGGCGAGTGTCTCGTCCGCCGTCGCCCGGGCGCGGACGCGGAGGGGGAGGAGGAGGGAAGGGGCGGTCCAGGAGGATGGGCGCATCGCGCGCCTGGGCACGACGCCTCCGACTCTGTTTGCCGACAGTTTGTCGCTCGACTCGTTCGCCTTCGGTCAAGCGAATTCGTGATTCGATTGCGCAAAATCGAATTTGAACAGTTTGTCGGAGGCGCGAGGGTTTGCAGCTGCAAGCGGGAGAGGTGTAAGAAGTGTCGGGGGAGGGAGTAAGAAGAAATGGTGGATAGGAACGCGGTTGTGGGTTCCGGGAAAGGTGTTGGGGGGGGGAGAAAAGTAGGGCCGAGTGCAGGAGGCGAAGGCGAAGGAGGAAAGAAGGGAATTCGCAGGGTGGAGAATTGCGCTCTCGAAGCTGATGGCAGCCGGAAACGCGTTAGGCCGTGCGGGGGCGGCGCGGCGGGCGGCGGCGAGGGCGGGCGAAGGCGGGGGGGAGGGCGGGGAGGGCGGGGAGGCGAGGTGGGCGCTACGCGGGAACCGTCTCAGAAGTACAGACTTCGCTCCCGAGCCCGGATAAAAGTCTAGCTGCCCGCAGAGGGGTCCGAACTTTTCCCGCTGAAGTACGGCCGCTCACTGTTTGCACTTGCCAGCTCGGAAAAGAAGTGAAAGAAAGAAGTTGTGTTGCCATTTGAATGTCCCCGGCTAAGTTAACGTTCTTTCTGCTGCTCGGAGATTAGTTTGTTCACGGGCGGCTGGGGGGAAAGGGCAATTCGGTGAGGAGGGTGTACCTCATGCGAGGTCGTTGGGGTCTCGAGGGTCATGTGTTGAAATGGAAGCTCTTTTCATGGCAGGCCGCTTACTTCCTGCTCCGAGATTTCCTTTCTGAAGCGGTTTGTCCCCTGCGAGTAGTCGACTTCTTCTCGTTTTGACGACCTCCAAATGTGCGACCATACCCCTTTCTTCGGTAAGAGCGTCATTTGCTCCTTCTCGCTTTCACCCGCCTTAGAAGAAATGACCATCATCTCGGAACGATAATGAACATTCCACGAACTTTGTTGGAAAGCAATTATCTCAACCTGTACAATATAGAACTCTGCGTTGCCGATTCTCAAATTCGGGAGCACGGATGACTTTGGCATCACATTAGATGCAGCAACATGTCAGGTTGCTAGTGTAATTTGCTTCGACGTAATTGGACAAGTCTGCGTGAGTTCTCTAATTGGCTGCCTTACAATTAGCGAGAAGGGCGGTAGAGATCTGAAGTCGGTAGAGAGACAAGGAGCTTAGAAAGAGGTTTCCCGGAAAGGATTTGAAGTTTGAAAAATGAAATTTTGTTTTTATGTTCGCTTTTCTTTAAATTTACATTATTTTGACATTTTTCAAAGAAAAGAAAAAAATATATGAATGTACAAATTATAGGGGAATAACAGTGTTAAAAGTAATAAGTCGACTTTACCGAAGAATACTAAAATTATTTTTAGAAGACAATTATAAAGGTAAAGATGACTTTCAAGCAGGTTTTAGAGTGGGCAGATCGACCACCGATCATATATTTTTAATAAAACAGCTAATAGAAAAAATAATGAACAGCATTATTTGGATATAATGAACAGAATAATTGGACAGCAAATTCATTTTATATTTATAGATTTAAAAAGGCATTTGATAGTATTCCATTAACAAAATTATGGGAACTATTGAGAGAAATTAACATCAATGAAAACATTTTAATGGCATTAAAGAATTTATATGACGGTGCTATTTCTCTAGTCCAAATATC